ATCCCAGGATTCTTCATCCACACTGGGAATCAGTGAGAAGAGGTTGGTGGCTCTTCTGCCACGTCCTTGACCTCCAAATTTGTTTTCCCAACCCATCTCCAAGCTCCATCCCCAAAGGGTGCAGAGGTGTTTGTATCCAAAGGATTTCAGGGCAATGAGAAGAGGTAATTAGGGAGATTTGCAATGAGGAAGGAAAGGATGAAAGAAAAGTTATTCTTCTGAGGAGATTAAAACCAGAGGAATGGACATGCTCTTTGGAGCATTTGAGTGGTTTAATGACTGGTAATGACTAATTAATTAATAATCACTGCTAGTAATGAGGGCCAGATTTTCATTTTCCATTAAATGGTGTAGCTGGACTTATTCTGAGGTGATTTACACCAAGTTCCTGACTCAGCTCATCCACATCACCCATCCTTTATGTGACTTATAGCAGCTTTTAAAACAAGAACTGGATGGCTTTGATCCAATTGCTTTCTTTGAGTCCAGCAGGATAAATAAGCAGGCACCAGACCAGGCCTTTGAAGAGCAAAAGGTGGTTATTTTAATTTTTAATTTTTTTTTCTTGCCTCAGTATCGCTGTGCACTTTCTGTGTGCATCTAGAAATGTATTTCAGGCTGTGCCAAGTGTGGCTTTGGCCCTGGATAGATTTTATCTTGATACTGCATTCAGTGCTGTTCTGTCAGCTTTTCTGCCATGGGAGTGTGAGACCAGGCACAGCATCTGGGGAGTGCTATTTGTTTTCTGACACTTTCCCTGGGGTTTCCTGTTCCTGTTGGTTTTCTGATTTATTTACCCTTTTTTTTCTTTTTTTTTTCCCTTTTGGATGAGGTTACTTTTGTTGATGTATGGCCCAGATCTGTCCTAGTCTACTTTGAAAGCTGGTAAATGAGTAAAGCTGGACTTTGGGATTGGAAGTGATGTGAGGGCAAATGTATTCCCACATTTGAAGAGAGTTCAGGTTCCTTGGGGCGGAGGGTGTCTGTATGTGGCGATGTGCACAAATTTGATGCTCTAAAAATGGGAGATTTAAGCATTTCTGTTTGTTGGGAAAGGCTGCTTAAACAGAAAAAAAAACCTGAGGATAGAGTTGAGGATGAAAGGACAGGCTGGAAGACCTGGGGTTGTTTAGCCTGGAGAAGGGAAGGCTCCAGGAAGACCTCAGACCCCCTTCCAGTGCCTAAAGGGGCTCCAGGAGAGCTGGAGAGGGATTTGGGACAAGGGATGGAGGGACAGGATACAGGGAATGGCTTGAAGCTGTCAGAGAAGCAGAGTAAGATGGGATATTGGGGAGAAATTTTTCCCTGTGAGAGCAGAGAGGTGCTGACACAAATTTTCCAGAGAAATTGTGGGTGCTCCATCCATGGAAGTGTCCAAGGCCAGGCTGGATGGGATACTGAGCAGTCTGGTCTAGTTGAAGGTGTCCCTGCCCATGGCAGGAGGTTGGAAAAAGGTGATCTTTAAGGTCCCTTCCAAAACTATTCTGTGATTCCAGAATTCTATAGATAGGAACCTTTTAAAAGCAGTTTTTTAGATACCCATAAATGAGAAAGATAAACAGAACACTAAAAAACCTTTAGCTAACAAAAAATCCCTACCACAAGCCAAATGTACCAATATCTACAGAAAAAGCCCCACAACAGTCTGTTACAGAGGGAAAGTAAAAGCTGTTGTGGAAATCTGGAAAAAGGATAAATTGACAGCGAGCAATGCAAATTAAAAGCTTGAAAAACACAAGAGGGAAAAAAGAAAATAGGGAAAGTGTAGGAATTTCATTCTTCAGAACAGCAAAGATGAATAAAAAGCAAAATTTAGATTCTACTAAACCCATAATAAATCCTGATGGCATTGGTTTGTTACTAGCTCAAAATGACAGATTTATTTATAATAATGCAGGAATTTCAATAAACGCCTGTATTCTGTAATTGGAAGAGAGCCTGGTTCCTTAATCCACATCCCAGCCTAATGAAATACTTTTCATTACACCAGCAGCTGGAAAACCTGCTATGCATCATCCAGCAAAGTGAGATGTGTGCAAGAGTAACAAGACAGAGCAATTTGGGACGCAAGGATTTTAAAAGAGCAGGTTAAGACTAATTTGGGATCATTGCTCTTTAGGAAAAGGAAGGTGGAAGAGTTCCCCAAATCTGGAGAGGGGAGCATGTGTGTGTAAGCACAGCAGCCTCACATCTGCCGTAGGCACAATATCCATCTGAAACGGGATCCAGAAATTTAGGGATTGTGGGTAATATTATGATTATAATTGAATAATAGCATGCTCATTAAAACAGAGACATTAATAGCAATCAACTTATGGAAAAGAGATTTTGTCAAGCTAAATTAATACTTTCTAGGAGAATACAGAACTGTTTGTTGGGAGTCTGGGAATTTGTCATTATTTGTACACATCATAAATAAGGCATTTTTCTTGGTGACAGTGGATAAACAGAACAGCTCAATAATGCAGATCTTGGAAATTCGAGCAGGACACAGAGGGGAGGATACAGAACTCAGATTTCCCATGAGATTGGCCTTGGATCTCCTGGTCCCTTCCAAGAAGGGTTTTGGGGAATGTCAGAAGGTGCATGAAAGAGAGCAAAGAGCAATGCCAGGGTCTGAAAGTCTCCCAAGAGATGATGTGACAGCTCGGAGAAAATCATGTGAAGAGCTGCTGATCCAGAGAAGACAGATTTATGTCCCGTGAGATGGATGGATGGATGGATGGATGGATGGATGGATGGATGGATGGAGAACCACAGGATCACAGAATGGTTTGGGTTGAAAGAGACCTTAAAGATTATTTAATTCCAGCCCCCTGCCATGGGCAGGGACACCTTCCACTAGACCAGGTTGTGCCAAGCCCCATCCAGCCTGGCCTTGGACACTTCCAGGAATGGAAATTTCAGACATTTAATAGGGTCCAGACATTGAGAAAGCTCTGGGTGAGGTTCTGTGTATTGCCTACAACTTCGACAGTAAAATTAATTTGGGGTTTTTTTATGATTTTACTTTTTTTTTAAACTATGAACAGTTCTCTAGCTCAAGCCAGAAGTAATTGAGGGAGGCTCAGTGTCACATGTTGAACAGGATCTGAGCAGATAATGACAGCAGGATGTGCTGGTGCTCTGTCACCCAGGCCACGGTGGCACAGGGAGGTGGAGGGAGGCTCGGAATCGTTGCGTGAGGAGCAGGTCAGAGCCTGCATCGAGTGGAGACCTGCAAAGAACTTGTCTGTGACTCAGGGCAGGTCTCTGGAGCCAGCAGCACGGAGCTGTCCAGGCCATCTGTGATGCACCCAAGGCTGCTGAGCAGCTTGGCTCCATCTGGAGCTGCCGTGGGCTCGCTGCTGGCGTTGCTGCCGAGGTCCCATCTCCTCTGAGGATGGTCAGCTGTGGAGATGGGACATCTTTCCTCATGTCCCTTCAGTGAAGGCAGATGGCCCTTTTGCTCTGCCTCCACATCCTGTCTCAGGAGCCCAAGATATGCACAGAGCTGCTGACCTTCTCTCCATCTAATGAATTTCTGCACTTGTGCTCTGCATCTGCACTCCCTGTGTGGCCACATCCCAGGAGATGGGACAGAACAAGACACAGAAGCAATGGGTGGAAAATGACTGCAGTTTTTGGGTCCCCACTGTCCCAGCACATGAGGCAGAACAGGAGATTCCCCTTTTCCCTGACTTAGCCCCTTGTGCTCACACAGAGATGGGGCTGCAATCATTTTTCCTGATGAAACCACCCCACCTGTGGGATGAAGACCATGGAGACTTCCCTGTCTATGGCCCCTTCCCCATTCTGCTGCTTCTCCCCAGCCTGAAAAGATGCCAGGAGAAGGCAGGGATCTGTCCCTTTGATGTCCTCGGGTCCCCCTGGCCATGAGGAAGGAACATCCCTGCCATGCCCAGAGCTCTGGGAATGTGGGGAAGGGCTGAGGAGGCTCCTGGTCCGGCCTTTGGAGAAGGAACAGGGGAGGGGAGAAGCTGTGAGTTGGGGGTGGTCTAGACACATCTATATGGGGTGTGTAGCAGGGGCTTGGGGGTGTATGGGGTGAGAGATGGGGCTGTGGGGGGAGTGAGGTGTATTTTAGGTCTATAGTGTTATATCCATAAATGGGACATGTGGGACAGGGCAATAGGGATGCAGAGGCGTGTCCAGGTCGCGTAGGGACAGGGCTATAGGATTACTTACCCATGTGTCCCACATGGGGATCACTATGGTGGGCGTCACAGGGCTATAGGGCCGTGTTTGGGTGGGAAGTTCTGCATAGGTGTATGGGATAAACGGGCCAGAGCTATGGGGTTAAGGTGGTGCAGAGCTATAGGCTTAAGGAAGTGTATGTGGGATATGTGGAACTGGGCACAGGGCTAAGAAAGTGTATATGGGATAAGTGGGAAAGGGCTATAGGGTTAAGAAGGTGTATATGGGGTATGTTGGGGCAGGGTTGTAGGGTTAAGGTGCACATGGGATAAGTAGGACAGGGTTATAGGGGCAAAAGTGTGTATATGGGACATGTGGCACAGGGCTAGAGGGTTAGGGAGGTGTGTATGGGATATGTGGGAAGGAGCTATAGGGTCAGGAAGGTGTATATGGGATATGTGGGGCAGGGATATAGGGCTATGCATCCATGGGGTGGCTGTGTGGGATAAGGCTGTGCAGTTACACCTGCACACATGGGACTGGAGGGCTTTAGGGTTAGGGGGCTGTATATGGGATATGTTTGGGGCAGGGCTATAGGGTTATGGAGATGTGTATGGCGATCGTGAGACCGGGCAGCCCGGGGGTTCACATGTGTGTGGGGTGATAGAAGGGTCACAGCGGGGCGGGGGGACCCGGGGACGGACCAGCACCAGGACCAGGATGGAGACGCAGGTCCGGCTTGGGGTTGGTGGGATGGGGGCGGCGGGGGGCGCGGTGCCCGCTCCCCGCCCGCCCTGACGGCCGCTCTCCCTCTCTCCCCGCTCCGCCGCCCCGTCCCTCCCTCCCTGCTCTCCTCCCTCCAGCAGAGCCTCCGCCTCCGCCTCTCCGCCCGGCGCCTGGTCCTGGCGCGGCTGCCGAACGGTCCCGCTCGACGCCTCCCGGACCAAGTGCCTGTGTGACCGGCTCTCCGCCTTCGCCATCTTAGCCCAGCTCAGCCCCGACATGGTGAGTCCCGCCGGCGGCACCGCGGAGGGAGGAGCGGAGGGCCCGGGGAGGCGTGGGGACACGCGGGGGACAGGGCGAAATAAAGCGGGCGGGAAGGGGACGCGCCCGGGATGCAGCGGAGCATCCCCGGCGCTCGGCTCTCGGGTACCGCGGCGGGGACAGCCCCGAGCGCTGCTGCCGCTGCTGCTGCTGCAGTCCGGTGTCACCGGGACCGTGGCGACACAGCGTGAGGCTTTGCATAACCCTCCCCCTTCCTTCCCCGCCGTCCTTCGTCTCCCCTTCCCCCCGACCCTGGCCGCAGCTTTGGGGACGCGCACGCAGGGACATCGCGGGTGCTGCCGCGCTGCTCCCCGCGTCCTCGCCATCCACCCTGCCATCCCTGCGCTGTGCCTCGGGACGTGAATCCCGCTAAACGTGGGCAGCCACCGGCCCCCGCAGGCGTGTTCACTCCCGTGGGCTCCCCACGCACGGCATCTTCGCACGTGGCTCATTTTGGGGGGGCGGAATCGCCCCGCTCCGCCTCCCTCCCCGCGTGTCTCCATCCCCGCCTCGGCGTCCTTCCCGCTACCCCAGGCAGTTTTGGGGTGGGTGTGTGTGCGGAGTGTTCCCACTCTGGTATCGGGGAGCGCGGAGGGGAGGAGTTGTGAAGTTTTGGCCGCTTGTCGGGGACACGAAGTCGGTGCCGCGTCTCGGACGGAGCCTCCGGAAAAAAAGTGCGAGATTCCTAGAAATTGTCGCTGGGCGGCTGCACCCTGAGTCAGAGCACAGGGAGGGTGCCAGGGCACGAAAGACTGCACTGGGGTCGTCAAAAGACGCTTCACAGGCTCCTCTCTTCCAGCTTGTGCTTTTGAAATAGTTTTTCTTTTCTTTCTTTTCTTCTTCTTTTTTTTTTCTTTCTTTCTTTTTTTTTTTTAAGTAGTTCATCCCTGTTTGGGCAGTTCCCGGGTTCACAGATCAAAGCCACCCCCCTCCTCCACCTAAAGCTTCTCCATCTGCCTGGGCACTGGGAGTGACTGGGCCCTTGCAATTATTTACTAATTATGGCTTGCTTGTTAAATGCTGGCTTAATTCGGCAAAAGGGGAGGGGAAAGGAAGAAAGGAAGGGTGAGCGTGGTAAAGGGAGAGGGGGGATCACATTTTCCAAGATGAAGGTTTGGTTTATTATTAGAAACACTAATGTATTTGGTCCACTAGTTACCATGGAAACAACATCTGCACTGAAGTGGTTTTAAAGACACAGTGTTGGTTGTGTTTGCCCGGGCCACAAGCAGGCCCAGCCACCACAGGGCTGAGAAATGAGCTCTGGGGTGTTGGGCAGAGCAGCTTTTGGGGTCCTCTGGGCAGAGGCACCAACACTGTGGTCTCAGGTAGAGATATCCTGGCTGAAGGATGCTCAGAGATAGGATTGGGAGTGTGTTCCCGCTTGGAAGGGCTCTGGAAGCAGCTGGCTGCCTCAATCCTGCCGTCCTCACACCCATCTTCTTCCATGGGTTGTTGTTTCCTAGTCCTCCCACCATAAATCAGGTGGACAGGGAGGCAGCTGCTGGGCTGGGCTCTCCAGGAGTGTTTCCAACCTTTTTGAGGTGGACAGGGTGATCTCAGGTGAGCCAGGTGGGATTTATCACCTGCCCTGGGAGCTGGCAGGGCTGTGTCCTGCCAGCAGCAGGGCTTCACCCTTCACCCCAAGCTCCAGAAGCTTTAGTCTGGCTCCAGAGGTTGTGATCGATGAGTGAGCTTTGCCCTGCATGGGAAGGACTCTGAGATATCCTGAACAAAGTTTTGGGAGGTTGCATGGCTGGGGAAAATAAGTTGGGATTTCTGCTGCAGGGAGGCTGCTAAGGCAAAGCTTTGCTATTATTTAATTAAATAGCCTGGGGAAAAAATGGTTAATTTGATGTGGCCAGATGCTGCTGCTCCCTCAGCTGCAGGTGTTTGGGTGTTATCTGGATAACACAGGGTGGTTGTCAGCCCTTTATCACCCCTGCAAGTATTTCTGCATTTGAGAGTGGGCTTGGCTGTAGGAGGATACAGCTTCCTTCCCCCAGGCATGTTTTATTATATCTGCAATGAAACTCACAGCTGCTCCTTTGGGGTTTAGGCCTAAAATTGCTTCTTTTGCCCTCTTTCCAACTCCTCTGGCTGCTGGTTGGGTTATGTTTTCCCAACTCATTTTTTCCCAGCCTCAGGTCCACTCATGAGCATCAGGATGAGTCCTCTGGCTGTGTTAGGGGGAGAACTGGGGCTTGGATATCTCCTGAGTCCCCCAGCTAAGCCTGACCAAGGGTTTGATGGTGATGGGGAGCACCAGCCAGGCTGAGCCAGCTGGGACCCATCTCCCGACTGTGAGCTTGCAGGGCTGTGCTCATCCAGCTCCTCATTCCCTCGTTTTCCTCCCCAAATCTCATTCTGAACAAGCCCACGTTGCCTCCTGTCCCCAGAGGTGGCATCTCGTCATCGTTGGTGTCTGCGGTGGTGACATTTATGGTGCAGTTTTTCATGTGCCTTTGGAGCTCTCAGGACAAGAAGCTCCGTCCGCCTGTGTCATTAATATTATTTATTGCTATAAATCTCCCTTCTGGAGCCTTTGGCCCTGGCAGCTTGAAATATTTGTAACCCTGGTATGGGCACAGCTCCTTTGCAGTGAAAAAAGGCTCTGAAAGGTTTTTGGGACGACTGTTGCTGCTGATTCGGACTGGCCAAGGACAGTTTGCCTGGGCTGGGACCTGAGAGCTGCTCATGTAGGGAGGAAAGGAAGCAGTTTCCCTTAATTTCAGTGAAGCTGGAGGCTGAAAGTGCCGTGTTTTGAATCAGTTTGGGAGACAGACGTCCCTAAACTGTGATGGAGCTGTTCGGATCCAGCTCAAAAGCTGGAGTTCAGATTTGTTTGATTTCCCCTGCTACTTCCACTCGACAGAGGCAGCCTCATGCCCTGCTTTGGCACAACTGCTGTTTGAGCATCATGAAAGATTAAAACCTCTTAAATTAAGGAACACAGACAAGCATTTTGGGACTGTCCTTTTGTTTTAGCTTTATACCCTGCCTGTCTTGGAAGGGCAATGCCTTTGGTGCTACACCTGCACAGTAGCAGTGCTAACAGAGAATGAGGGCGAAAGGAAACCTCAGAGCTGCATGTGAGGCTTGGGGTGGTGGTTTTTTCAATATATTTCAGCAATTTTTGGAGGTGGGAAGGAGGTAGAGCAGGAGCCTGAGGATGAGCAGTGAAGCCTTTCACTCTTTGGTTGTCTCATTTGATTTTGGCTCGTGTTGTCTCTGCTGCCTTCCACTTTGTGCTTGGCCTTTATAAAGTCAGCCAAGCTTAAAAGCTTGGTTAAGGATGGCTTGGATGGTGTGGATTGGTCCGGTGGAAGGTGTCTCTGTCCATGGCACAGTGTGGAAATTGGATGACCTTTAAGGTCCCTTCCAACCCAAACTGGTAGTTCTGTGATTTCTGCAGCCCTTAGGGCTGGAGTAAAATTCTAAAGTTCATTTCTGTTGTCTCTCCCCCTCCTTACTGGTCCTGCCTGCAGAAAACTGATCAGAGAGAGGCATCTGAGCTGTCCTCTCGTTTCTAGGCTTGATGAAGATGTGGAGCTGGTGGCAAGAACTTGTAGGAGTGCTGAGTTTGTTACGTCTGGACTGAATTTTTGGGACATCTCACCTCCTTGTCGGTGTTTTCTGACAGGCAAAACCAGCAGCTGTGGAGTTTTGTGGGGTTTATTTTAGCAGAGCTGGCCTGGGTGAGTGCTGGCCAGGCAGCTGAGCATCCATAGTGAGCAGACCTGTGAGAGGAGAGGAAACGGCTTCAAGTTGTGCCAGAGGGGGTTTAGATTGGATATAAGGAAAAGATTTATTCATGGAAAGGGTTGTCAAGCACTGGAACAGGCTGCCCAAGGAAGCGGTGGAGTCGCCATCCCTGGAAGCGTTCAAGAAATGTGTGGATGTGGCATTTGGGTGCTGGGTTGATGGTTGCACTTGATGATCACAGAGATATTTTCCAACCTTAATGATTCCAGGATTTTTATCCCAGGATGTTGCAAGAGGCTTTGTTCAGTGTTATCTCCAGTTTGCAAGAAGGAGAAGCACCTTTCCTGGTGTGCTTCCTACCCATGGGGATAAAGCTCCTCTCTCAACTCACATTTCTTTCTTTGTCCCTCAAAACCTCCCATTTTGGGATGGAAGGGACCTTCAAAAATCTTGTGTCCCGAGGATCTTCCCCCTGAAAAGATTGTCCTGTGCTACAGGAGCTCTCTGTACTTCATGGACAGTGCACACACACAAGGTGGGTTATTTTAAGCTCCTAAAATTCTGTAGGGCCTCTCTTGCACAGGGAAAAGATCCAGGTTTCTCAGCTGAAAAAAACAAAAAAAAATAAAATAAAAAAAAGTTGGTGTTATGAATCAAATATTTTGTAAGGGAGTAGCAATTCTGACAACGTGTTGATGGAAAATTTAGAAATTGGAAATTTAGATAACACTGGAGAACTTCATTTGGAGGTGAACATTTTAGCATTTATATCCTTCCATCATTTATCACGTGAAATTTGGAGTCTGGGTAAGAACAAAGCCTTTTGCATACCTTGAGAACTGACAGTTCTCCTGTTCACAAGACACTTAGTTAATATTGGTGCTGCTTTTTCTGCAGAGAAGCCGGACTTTTCTGAGGAAGGGAAGTTTTTGGTTTTGCCAGGCTGGAAGTTTTTGAGACACAGAACTCTGGTCAGGTCGCACTGGGGTTTAGGGAAGACTTTGGAGTATTTGTGTGTGTTGTTGAGGCTACAGCCAGAGCTTTTCTGTGCCTGTCAGTGAAATTGTGACCTTGAGCTAAACACTTCCTTGCTTTCTGCTTCCCTTTCTCCAGCTGCAGCACCCTTGCAGGTGACATCCCGGGCTCTGTGCATCCACATTTGTACAGTGCCCCGAGCCTGAAGGGTGCTCCAGGAAGCACCAAGTGCTGTCATTTCCCTGACAGAGCATTAGGAGCCTCCTCTTGCCCGCTTGGCA